GTGCTGGGGGTCTTGAGGAGATCTCACCTTAGGTCGTTTTCTAAGAGACACATTTACTTCCTCCTATGTTGTTCTCATTCAGGAGGCAAAAACTTAGGCAAAAGCTACAGATCCAAACTTCCGGCCTCTCTCAAGTGTTTTGCATTAACTGTTCCACAGTACAAACACAATCAACTTGGTATGTTTGAATGTTTCATTTTGTTTTTCAAAAATGTTTTAATTGAAACAAAATAATCAGCCATGCTAAGCACATTGTTATTTTTTAGAGACCACTTTAAATATGACAATATAACCAAGGAAATAAAAATTAACTGCTTAGGAAATTAACAGAAGTTTGTTTTCTTTTTTTTTCCCCCTGGATGTTTTTCTGTCTCAGTGCTGGTGCCACCTGCTGCCTGGGCTTTCTTCTGAGAGAACCAAGGAAATAAAAATTAACTGCTTAGGAAATTAACAGAAGTTTGTTTTCTTTTTTTTTCCCCCCTGGATGTTTTTCTGTCTCAGTGCTGGTGCCACCTGCTGCCTGGGCTTTCTTCTGAGAAACAGATCTCTTAATGGTTTGTTCCAAGCAACATCTGCAGACATAGTTGAACAAACCATAGGCCAGTTCTGAAGCAGACACTATTTTCTTTATGTAATGCACACTGGATCACACCAAACTTCTCTTTAAAACTTTTTAAAAAGTCTAATTAAAATCCAAATGTATGTGCATAAACTTTCCCCTATATATCTTTTTTAAAAATTGTGGTAAAATATATAATAAAATTTACCATTTTAACCATTTTCTCCACATGTATCTTAAAATTAGTTAACAGAATATGGTAAAAGGTTCACTCATTCACCAAAATCAAGCCTCCTTGTCACCTTTTCCAGACCAGTGAACACTGAAAAAAATTAGTAGACACGGACCTAGAACAGGACTTGGCAAAGTACAGCCTGCAGAATGAATGTGGCCCACTGACTATTTTTGTATGGCCACAAGCTAAGACTGGGTTTTTAATTTTTTAATTTAAAAATAACAAAAAAATATTTTGTGCCATAAAAATTATTATGAAATTCAAATTTTGTGTCCATAAAGTTTTATTAGAACACAGCCATGCCTATTCATTTATATTTTGTCTATGGCTGCTTTTGCCCTACAAAGTCAGAGTTGAGTAATAGCAACAGAGAAAGTATGTGGCCCACAAAGCCCAAATTATTTACTGTCTAACCCTTAACAAAAAGTGTTTGCCCACATCTGACCTAGAGCTTCAGGTGGCATTCCAGGCTCAATAATTCTAAACCAAAGATGATATATTGCCCATCACCAAAAATCCCTAATCTGTATATTGTGAAGCTATTTAAAGCAATATATTTTATCTTAATCATTTATTGCTTTTGCACCAACTATGCTAAACCATGAGTGTGTCAATAATATCTATATTGAGTACACCAACTTGCTGTTTATTAGTAGTAAGCCTACACGGAACACCTTCTTGCTTTTAAGATTTATAAAAGGGCTCACTGCATATCTCAAAGACTTAAAGAGTTTCTCAAGGGGCCAAAACAAATTTTCATAAAAGGATCAGAGTCTTTGATACCAGGTCAAAATGGTGTTTCTTAAAATGCTTAGAGAATACAAATAATTGGTATGCATGTTGGTCTGCTTCACTCCTTCACTGCTTCAGCCCCAAAGTTGCACACAGGTAATCCTATTTGCATTAATGAAGTCCCTAAGAGCAGCAGGACTCTGTAGAGAGGAATGAAGATCTTGCTGTTTACTCAACTCATAGGTTTTATGGTAAGACATACCTCTGGCTAATGGGACAAATTCCATACTAGGAGTTAGAGGAGAATGAGTATCAATTTATAAACTTATAAAAGGCTATTCACAGTAAAGGTAACCAGACTGGAGAAGCTCTGTTGAAGCACACCTGATAGCCCCCAAATGTAGGAAAACATCCGAGCAAGAAGTTTGTCTAAGGCAGTTTGCTTTAGGTGAAGAACTCAAGTAGCCCAAGTCCACCCAGCCTTCTCTTTTCTTCCTACCTGTCACCTCTCCTCTGTGGGTTAGTAAATTCCAGGTGGGAGCCCATTACAGACAACCCATCAGCCCCATGGCCCTGGCTGCCTTCCTTCCTGAGAGAAGAGTCTAGATTCACCATTAACCTCTATCATCCTTGTCAATTGTGAAGGAGGGGAGAGAATGTTAAAGGAAGAATGAAGAGAAGGGAGATCATTTGGGGTTGGCTACACACTGTAATTAGAAGTATCCTTGATGGGGAATGAGCTAACTGTTTTTATAAAGTCAGCATTCAAAAATGCAAACCACCAGTAATTTAAATATTACAAAATTGTGCAAAATATAAGTATTGAAATAATTTTTTCCATCCACAAAATTTTAGAGAAAATTACAGTATCAAAAAATATAAAATGGCAAGCTTGGCATATCCTCAGAATAAAACGCGTTTTTTATTGGAAAGGATTTTTAAAATAGTTGGTAGGCTCTAGACAGGATGTGATGCTGAAGACCATGTAGTATCCCCTTAAAATTGCTTTTGGAACTAGTGAGGAAAAGTCACAAAAGCAGCAATGCACCAGGATGGTAGGAAACCAAGCAGGCAAGGCTCACTGAATTGGGAACTTGGGCCACTTATCACAAATCATTTCACAATGGTTGTTTATTTGCCCCCATCTCTGACTCTTAAATAAAAGCACATCAAGATTTGGGGTTCAAACTACATAAGACTTGCTGCATTTGACCACAGCAAAGAAAAGGTGCCTGGGGAGAGGATGCCATCTTCCAACAAGCACAAGCACAGAGTTGGCTCACTTGACACTCTTTTTTTTTTTTTAAAGATGACCAGTAAGGGGATCTTAACCCTTGACTTGGTGTTGTCAGCACCAAGCTCACCCAGTGAGCCAACCGGCCATCCCTATATGGGATCCGAACCCGTGGCCTTGGTGTTATCAGCACCACACTCTCCCGTGTGAGCCACAGGCCAGCCCCACTTGACACTCTTCAGAACTATTATTCTCCCCTTTCCAGAAGAAGAACCAGTCTATTTCTACCCATACCTCTCTCTCCGTAGAGGACATTAAATCCTGACCACACAGATGGCAAAGTGGAACTAAGGGGTTACTAGGTTACAGTTATGTTGACATATCCTGGCTCTCAGAATGTCCCTCCCTCACTCCTAACACATGGCAAACAGCAGAAGTTATCAAATTGTACAAGTCCCATAGAAGGCAGCGATCACTCAGAAACCACTTACTGAACCTCAGGTTTACAGCAGTAGGAGACCCCAGTTCTACTGATCTTAAGCCAAGCTTTGCCTTTTACAGGGATTAATCAGACAGGACGCTCATAGCATTCCCAGGGTAAACGAGGTGTCTAGCACTTGATGAACTATGAAGCACTACTAAAAGTATCATTAAAATGTTTATTGACTGCCTTCTATATGTGGGTGTATTACCTACAGTATATTATTTAATCTTCACAACACCCTGCAAGGAAGTTACCATTATCCCCCCTTTACAGACGAGGAAACTGAGGCTCAGAGAGTTGAAAGCATGGCCCAAAGGCACACAGTAAGCAAGGACACCAAGTCCTAGCTTTTTCACTAATCTAAGCTGGTGAGTAAACAAACCAACTCTGAGTTTTCTTTCACCAGCAAAATCCTCTTTCTTTCCAACGTCACAGTCTGCGACTTTGGGTGGAGAACCCAGAGGCCGGTTTTCCTACTGGGGCAGACTGGTAATGAATTCTTCCCTTCCCTTTCACAAATGTCTGATGCTCTACACCAAAACAACCTGCAGAGAAGCATAACTGGGCCAGGCGACGCCCTCTTGCCTGCTCTTCAACTTGGAAAGGATCCTGCTGCAAAGAAGGGTGTGTGTGGAAGCTAAGCAAACTCCCAGCTTCCATCCTGGTCCAGGACCCCACCTCGGGAAGACCTGGCCTTGCCCTTGGCCTGGGGAGCAGTGACCTGTTAAACTGTGGGGTACCAGCTACCATAAATAAATAAACAAAATAAAGTGTGGGGTTACCCAGGACACGGGGCTCAGTGTTGCACCCTCAGTTGGATCACCCTAAGCTCTGTAGGAAAGAAGTTTCCCATCGCCCCTTCCTGTCTTCCTCTCCCCCTACTGAGCGTCACCTCAGTCACGGGGAAGTTCAAAGCGACCCGGGACGAGGAGGAAGGTGGGGGGGCACGTAATGAGAGACGTCCCAGCTGAGTACAGGGGGTCGTCCCAGGACCTGCCTCCAGCCGGGCGGGCAAGTCAACCCGGCTCCTCTCGAGGAAGAAGTTACAGTGTCCGCCAAGTGGGCGCAGCCGGACCCTAGCAGAGGGGCTGGGCTCCCGCTCCTCTCGCCTCCGCACCCGCTCCTGTGCGGGGAGGAGCCGGGGTCCACCGCTGTAGGAGGGAGGAAGGGCTGGGGGCCGCGGGGGCGTTGTAGTAAGGCTCGGGGAGGGCATCCTGATGCCGGGGGTTGTCGCTGAGGGTCTTGGGGAGGAGGTGCAAGGTCCTGAAAAGGGGGGGTCTTCCCGGCCCGAGGTGCGTCGCTGAGAGACTTGGGGACGGGACCCCAGGAGGTACTAGGGCGCAGGGGGCGTCCCGGCCCGGGGGCAGTCGCTGAGAGACTCGGGCAGCGGATTTCAGGTCGTGAGACACAGGAGACATCTCAACCAGGGGGGCGTCGCCAAGGGGCCTGGAGAAGGGGTCCTGGGGAGTTACTGAGACAGAGAGGGCGTCCTGGCCTGGGGGGCGTCACCGAGGAGTATCAGGTCCTGAGGCAGAGGGGACACCAGTCGGGCCCCGGGGCATCGCTGAGAAGCCTGGGGGTGTCCTGGGTCCCGAGGCTGGGGTCCGTCCCCGCCCGAGGGGCGTCGCTGAGGGGCCTGGGGAGCGAGTCCCAGAAGGTACCGAGGCAGGAGGCAGTGGGCCCCCCAGGCTGGCCGGCCCGCGTCGCCCCTCGGGCGGGCTCGGCGCAGGACGGGCGCCGGGGGTCGCTCACTCACCGGGTCCGGGGCCGAGGTCGGGGCTGGGCGCTGGCCGGGCCGCCAGCGTGAGCGCGGCGGCGGAGAGCAGGGCGAGGCG